AGAGACAGAGAGACAGAGAGACAGAGAGACAGAGAGACAGAGAGACAGAGAGAGAGAGAGAGAGAGAGAGAGAGAGAGAGAGATGAGCGTCGTCGTCGAAGAGGTGGTTTCTTGGTGGTCGTTACCGTGGGCCACAGAGTTTTGCACGCGTGGTAGAATCTCGTTCTAACGGGATGCCGACTTAGCCTATGGTGACTGGTGGTTGAGCACTCTAACTTACGTCGAGGATCGCGATGTGGCTTATTATAGTAAATACTCCAGGAGCCAGAGCCGTCTTCGGGCAGAGGTTCGTACTGGCTAAGCTCAGAGAACTGAATGCGAATTCGGGCTCCGGTGGCCCGGCTATTATACTGTCAGCTTATGGGGCAAGTGCGGAAGTGGTGATGAGCGGGGGCCCTTCGATCATTTTCCTAATTTATTAATTTGTACCTTAAGTAGTACTCCGACTAACTTGAGTCTTGGTTAGCTTAAAAGGGGGCCTTCGCTCGTCATTTTCCCGCTTACTCCTTATTAACTGCATCTTGTGTTCCCAAGTAATTAACGCGCATACCAATCTCGCGTTTTTGTGCATAGAGTTCCGCTATGCCGCTCCGAAGTGCGTAAACACGGAACATTCTAGAATTTCGTCGCTAGATTCGCGACGATATTAAAAGTATTAATTTCCAGGGGTTTGAACGCGCGGTTTGCCGCTGCGGCTTGAAGTGGAGGCGCGTATAGCGCCCCCGTGCGTGGCTGAGATCAACGGTTCGTGTGGAGGTAGCTCCGTTCTTGAGAATCGTTGATGTCAGCGTTTTAATGGTTTATTCCTTAATAATTAACGCAAATTTTACGGATTTCTTTTATTAGGGCGAAAGCGGAGGTGCCAAAGATCGGCCTGTTACAGTGGTTGCCTCGGCTGTCGCGTAATTAATCCAGAAACAATAATAGTAGAGTTTGAGAAAATAAGAATAGAGAACGTATGAGATCACGTGCTGCGCGCGTGCTACGTGCCGCGTCGCGCCGGTGCTATTTATCGGGTGGGCGATCATTAATGTTTCTCGAATAGTGACGTTTGACGAAAAATAATTCGTCAGACGTAACAAACCATAATGCAGAGTGCAGTATATCACGACGAGTTACGCTGCATATTTAACTTTTTAGAATTATTACACCGAAGGTTGCGCAAAGTGGCAGATCATTCTAGTACCGATTATTACTACAAGACTTCTACAAAAACGGAAAAGTAAATTCATTGTAACCCAACTTAACCCTAAAAAGTTATACCATTTTGAAACATAAATATAAGAAAAACATACAAATTCTTCACATTGAACTTTTCATATTGGCATTTATATAATAAAAATAATTAATTATTTTAATGAAAGAATGCACCACTCTTACCTTGTTCATTTGCACACATATTTTTTTTACACGGAAATTCGCAGTCCACAATTTCCACAAGTGACAAACTTGTGCATTCCGAAATGACGCGCGGGGGCAGATCACGACACTCGATTGACAAACAAAACTGGCATTTCACACCTTTGTTAGTTAAGGTCAGGGGTTTAAGAATTTGAAATATCTGTTTTCTGTTTTCTATGGTGTTTTCTACACGAATATCATAATAATACTACAAATTTTCATTTCAAGTTTTTTCGTCTCATGCGCGAGTTTATCGCGATCCGGACCACTGTGCGGCGTATGCAACGTTGGAGGCATCGGAGAAGCCGTGAATTTCAATATCTTGTGGATCGCTCCCTTGTCCCGTCCAACGAGATATAGAAATTTTATTTAAATCGGTAAGTTGTGAATGATAACTTTGGCAGCGACGCAACAGCTCGACTGGTAAGGGATCGTCCCATTCGATCTTGTTTAGCCATAATACTTGCATTAAAATTTTGGCTGTAACGGTCACTGGCGCCACCCACCCCAGTGGATCAAACGTTCGAGCGAGGAGGGAGAGGAACGATCTTTTCGTGAATCGTGTTTCCGACGTTACTTGTGCTTTAATATTGAAGGAGTCAGAGGAAGGGTGTCTCGCGATGCCGAGAACTTTAATGTTCGTTTCGTCACCCAACCTTTTCTCACTATCTTGTCCGAGATCCGGAAGCGGAATGTCTTTTAATAAACGGGAGTCATTACTAGCCCATTTGTATGGTCGAAAACCACCCGCCTTGAGCAACTGCGTTAGGTGTGTACGCGTTTGTCGTAGAATGACGAGGTCTTCTGTTCCGAACATTAGGTCATCAACATAGATTTCGTTTTCAAGAATGGGGACTGCCAGAGGAAATTTCGCTCCTTCGTCTACGGCGAGTTGTTTTAAAACGCGATTAGCTAGGAATGGAGCTGGCGCCGTGCCGTATATGACGGTTAGTAATCGATAAGCGTGTAAATCGGATTCATGGTCAGCTCGCCAGAATATCCGTTGATAGTCCGTGTTCGAAGGACATACGCGGATTTGTCTAAACATTTTTTCTATGTCCGCTGAATACACGAATTTATGACTACGCCATCTCAAGATCAACGCGAACAGGTCGTTTTGTAACTTAGGGCCGACTAATAAATGATCATTTAAAGTTGAACCATTAGTAGAAGCTCGCGAGGCGTTAAATACAACGCGAAGTTTCGTAGTTGCGCTACTTTCTTTTAAGACCGCATGATGTGGCAAATAGATTTTTTGCCTGTTGCTTTTGTCGTGAATAGGTACCTTTTCCATATGATTAAGCACTTCATATTCTTTCATAAAGTCATTGTATGCTTGTTGTAGTTCGGGTTGTCGTGATACTCGAATTTCGTTAGACAAAAATATACGTTTGGCAATCTTTTCTGTATCAATAGGAATTGGAGGTTTTGATTTGAACGGCAGTTTAACGACGTATTGACCATCGGGTAATCGTGAGTGCGTTTTTACGAAGTGTTCTTCGCACTGCAAATCCTCATCGGACTGCATGGGACGTCGCGGTATCTCTTCGAGTTCCCAAAATCTACTCAATACTTCAGTTAAATCGTCCGATGAAGAAACGTGGTTGACACACATCGAAGGGTTTCGTGAATCTTTACGGGCGGGTCCTGAGACTACCCATCCGAAGATTGTAAGCTGTGCAATCGGGCCACCGGAGGGGCCGCGTATTAAACCGTCGCGTAGGATAGCACCGTAATGGTCTGTTCCAATCAACAAATCAACGTGTCGTCTATCCGACGGTTCTGAATCGGCGAGCGTTATCGCTTTTAAATGTGTATACGTATCGTCATTTATAACTGACGAAGGTGTATAAGCAGTCAATTTCTGCATAACGAATGCTTTAATCGGTAAGACAGGACCCTTACATGAGCATGGTTCTGCGGTAAAAGAAGCCAGGCCCTTAATTTTTCCGACTTTAGTCCCGCCTATACCTGAAACGCTAATGTCCACGTTTTTACGTTCAGCCTTAAGTAATTGTACTACGGATTCGGTTACAAAGGAAGCTTGCGATCCTTGATCTAATAAAGCTCGAACGCGTACTGTCCGACCTGACTTACTTTTAAGTAAAACAGAAGCTGTTGGTAATAATGTGACGTTAGTTACGGTATCTGAAGAGTTACTGCTATACGTGGACGTGTCTTTCAATTGAGTTTGTTGTACGGTACTCAAGTTCGACGAACTGGGCTCACTTTGATCCTTT